CGAGCCCCGGGCCCACCCCCGCCCCCGGCCCCGCACTAGCAGCTACCCCAGTCCCACGAGTGGTGGGTGTGGCCCCGGGGGGGGTCCGGGATGGGGTATAAAACCCCATTTTTGAGGTTTAGCCCATGTGGAGCGCGCTCCCGCTGCGCACCCCCCACAATTTTTTTTATTTTTTTTTATTTTTTTTGGGGGGGGGGGTTCGGAGCCGGGGTTGGGGGTGCCCACCCCCGGACCCCCGGAGCCCCGCCGGGGCCCCGGCACCGGGGCTCGACAACCCTGCTTTCGTCCACCACGGTTGGGCATGCCCTCTCACGATGTGAGTTTAAAGTTCGTAATGACATGAAAGGCCTGCCACAGTCGCACACCCGTGAACCACTGTCCATTTTCTGTGCACGCAGTGCATTCCAAAAACAAACAAAGCGGTGCGGACAGTGTTTTGATTAGCATTTTGTACATTGGTTCAGGTCGTTTGAATTATAAGTTGCAGAGCATATTTTATTATATTGTGGAAGTGTTCCACATCCTCTTCTCTTTGAGAGAGAGATAGAGAGGGAGTACTGATTGCCGTTTTTGGTACGAATGGTCTGTGTCCCTGATCCCAATTGACAAAGATTAGTAGTCAACCGTGCGACACGATAAGTTATATGCCATGACAGGTTCTATGGTCGTGTTGGAAGAGGCAACGACTTACGCATGGTACACGATATATATACAACATTTATCACCACGTTTGTGCGGCTGCCTAAGTTCGCAACTATCCATCCACGACGTTTGTGAATGTGGTATGTGTTTTCCATGTCCGCATGAAAATGATTGTACCTCGGCACCTCAGCCGACCTCCGCAACCACTTCCAAAACATTTCACAACCTAATACATTTGAATTTAAATTACAGAGAATGAAAAAAATAAACACAACATACACACACTGGTCATCACAAGGGGTCTGATGTGTCTCACGTACTCCAGAAGGCAATAAATTATGACATACATCGTAACAATCATCAAATGATTTAAATATTATTCAATCTTGTGTCTGCACGCTGTAGTGAACCGCATATACTTGGAGAGGCAAACAACAGGCAGCATGACACAGAACCCGCAGATGGATGTACAGGTTCTAATATAGCTACAACTCTACATACGCGAGAGAGAGAGAGAGAGAGAGAGAGAGAGAGAGAGAGAGAGAGA